GGCATGTTGCTAAATATATGCACCATATAACATATTCATTATAATTTTTACTGTGCTTCAGTGTTTAATTTGTTTAAATAAATCCATCAAGTTTTATGACAGCCACCATTTAAATGTTTATAGCCTATTTAAAAAAACAAATTGAAGTAGAAATATTATGTAATTGTACCTTTATCATTTTAAAAACTTCATTAAGTGTAATTTTAGCAGTTGTGTAGCCTACAAATCAGTCAGTTTTAACCTTCAATATTATAGTAATGTAGCTAGTACCAACTGACTCATGTATATTTTACAGCATTAGTTGACAGATTTTTTTTCCTTGAGAAAATTTGGCATGTACCTACTGTACTTGATATATATCCAAATCCAAAATAATCTATACTGAATCAAATCGTTAATCGAATCGAATGCTTGTGAATGAGAATCGAATCGAATCGAATCGAATCGAATCGTGAAATCTGTCAAAACCCAGCCCTAGACTCTACTGTATTAAAGTGATAACAAAAAAAGCTCTGTGTGAACCTGTCTTCCACAACAGTTGTTGTTCTCAGGACTCGGAAACACATGCTCGTCCCACTCATCTTAATGTCCTGAACATGCAATAGAGAACCAAAGACAGTGACTGCGCAACTTTTGAAACAAGGCCACATGTTAAGTCTCAATCCTCGACCCTAACTGGAGGAAGCATATATTTCAACATGGAAAGCGCTGGATGTTTGCCATATCACATCATAAGAACATTAATCACGAACACATGTCATTTTATGGTGGTAACTTGCAATTTTGAGAAGTTCATTTTGTGTTTTTGCTGTTTCTATGACTGTGTTGAAGACTATTTATCTATAACCACTTGTTTCCGTGAATTTTTCTCCTACTCTATACTGTAAGCGCTTCCTTCAGTCTACTCAAACTGTAAACATCCAGGACTAGTTTGTGAACAACACAATCCAACTGATCTTTTAAGTCCATTCAAAGTTTAAAAATACTTTTTCTCAAAACTATTTAAAATCCATTAAGGGAGGTTCTTGCAACATCTGCTGTTGACATCTGTTGCTGCTAGGTTTGAAGAAAAAAATAGCATTGCGATTCAAATTATTTAAACTATTTTAAACTAGGGCTGTCTATTGAATTAATGACATGATATGTTGATCACAATAAATGAATGTGTTAACACCACCATGCACAAAAGCAACCCTAAACAACTTGTTACAATTAGATCAAGATGAATAACAGTTATTTTAAGCCAAACACATCAGCACTAGAACGCTCCATTACAACCGTAGCTGTGTTAGACAAAGAGGTGTCTGCTTGCAGTGACCTTTTCACTCCTCTATATCCTCCAAGCATGTTTGCATATTTGTGCAATTCAGTTTGTTTGGCAGAGCAGGGCACAAAGGAAGCTAATTAATAATTAAACCAGTGTTTTGTGGCAAGTCAAGCAGCGCGTCCAAACGTCTCCAATATGTTGTGGTGGGAAAAGACACTGGATAGAGTCAACGCCATAAACTGGGTGGACAACATGATATGGCTTAGATTAAGGCCACAGATAAAGACTGACGTGTTCAAGTTCCTTTTAATTTAACATGAAGGCAATATTGTCAGTGCCACATTCCCAAACTACTTAAAATCTAATTTCATAAACAATCTTGTGGTAAAGGCATTTGTATACAGAACTACATTTGCTGATACTTTTCAGATACTTTAAATGTTTTTAAAAGAAGTGTCTCTTTGCCTCACCAAGGCTGCATTTATTTGATCAAAATTACAGTAAAAAAGTAATTACTGGGAAATATTTTACCATTTAAAATAACTATTTTCGGTTTTAATATATTTTAAAATGTAATTTATTCCTGTGATGGTATAGCTGAATTTTCAGCAGCCATTACTCCATATTTTTCAGTGTCACATAATCCTTCAGAAATCATTCTAATATGCTGATGTGGTGCTTATGAATTATTTCTTATTATTACCAACATTTAAAACTGTTATGTGAATTAATGTTTTTTGTGGAAATTGTGACTTTTTTCTTTGTTGAATAATGTTAACAAGAAAATTTTTAATAATTAAAAACAGATTTTTTTTATAACAATTGTGTCAGTACTGTCACTTTTGATCAGTTTGACTCTTTCCCCACCAGTGTTTTTGAAAAAAGTTGCCAGTCACTGCCAGCATTTTCATGGCCCCAGAATATTTTGTTGTATCAATATCTGAACATGCAACACATCAAAATAAAGAAGAGAGCCTCTACTTTTAAACAATAAAGTTTGTCTGTTTTATTGTTTTGTTGTTTTATTCTTGCATCAAGCATTCTTTTTTAATCAACACTTGAATGTAGGCAAGTTTCATAAAAAAAAAGCAACATTTTGAGCAAAAGGAGAAAATCAAATTTTTATCAAATACTACATCTGGATCATTCAGTACGATGATCAAAGCATAGATGCAGTAGTTCATCAGCACTCCCAAAGCTTGCACAGTCCTTTACTACTTCCTGGATCGACATTTCACTTGGTAACATTAGGCAGTTATCATTTATTAGTTACAATATTTATTGTTGATGATCGCATTTTTGCATTTGCATATGCTTGTTTCTGCGTCTACCTCGCCTATGTTTTTGATCGAGTGATTCTAGACTCATTCAGGAGATGTAAAGGGTCCCCAAGTGTATAACAGTGAAAACACGGAAACCCGGAAAACTCTGTGTTTGGTGGGGAAGTGTTGTCTCATGAATAACGGAAAATTCCGTGTCTGGCAGGGAAAGA